GACATTAAATTCCGCAAGGACTAAGAGAAATACGCTTTATGACTGTGGAACAGGCACCTTTCATGGAGTAATTATCTGACAATTTTTCCTTTTCTCCTCTGATTATTAGTCTTTTCCAGTTTCTACTTCTTAAGCCAATTTGGCATTTACATCTGTGTAGAAAAGTGAATCATGTCAGTGAGATTTTTCAAATTCATTGAGTCACACATACTATATTCTCATAAATAAGCAATCTCTTCTGCGTATGTTCTATCCTCCTTCTCATCCGCAACACCGAACGTTTTTCCTCTTCACTCTTCACGACTGGTCTTGCCATGCTTTTACTATTCTTCCCAAAAATGCTCTTGCATTTATTCTCTGGTATTCGCTTTTCCTAATTCATTAATTTGCGCCTTAATTGTGACCCTGTATTTCTGCCTTCCTTAGACTTCCCTTTTTTTAAAAAATCTCTCTTTCAGTTAAATTGTTATTTCATTTAGTTTATTATTTCTTAATAATAATAAAATAAAATTTGTGGCTACAGATTTTTCTTTGCATAGCTTTGGCTGAATCCCAACTGTTTTCGTCACTTACTTTGTAGCACGATTTTAATTCTCTCTTCGATCCTACAGTAACTTAGGAAAAAAAATTTTTCATTTCCAAGTGACTGTATGTAAGTTGCCCTTTTGTTATTAAGTTCTAACCTAATTGTATTACAGTTACTGACTGTAGCCTAAACAGTTTTTTCTTCTTGGAATTTATCAAGGTCTCATTGGAGGGTCGGCATACAACGGATCCTTAAATGTCTTCTAAGGATACTGGAAAGGAATGTATTCGTGTTTGCAGAACAGGACACCTTGATCTGTATGTATTAGATTAACTGTATTAGATAAACTATTCGAATTCATCCTGACTTCACCTAACGTTTACTGTTTTCGGGTACCACAGGCAGAAAGAAACGTTCAGGCTTCATAAAACGCCGCTGCGTAACAAGCCAGCCCAAAATTCATGGTTTAAAACAGTGACATTTTATTCTTTGTCAGGATTCTGTGAGTTGCCTCGTTCCGCTGTCACAGCGAATGCGGCTGGCGGACCAGACGGCGCTGGGCCAAGGAACGGCGGCTTGGTCCTGCTGCGTGGGGCCTCCCGTCCTCCGGTAACGCGTTGCGCTGCCTCTCCCACGAGGGCAGAAGCGTTCCAGGAGAGCGAGCTCCAACGCACGGGAGCGTTTCTAAGCCTCTGCCGATACCACCCTGTTGACTAAAGTCCCACTGAACTGAGCAACCACGTGGCCCAGGGTGGGAGGCGACGGTGCGGAGCCACGGGTAACCGGAAATACGCTTCCACGGGAGCCACTAAGGGGACCTCGGCCACACAAATGGGTCATAATTTGTCCTGTAGTTCTCCTATACCTCTAACAGTTTTTGCCAAAATAATCCTGTGTATATACTCCTTTTTTTTTTTTTTTTTGGTGCAGACTTCCATTTTCTCGTAATGATATAATCTCATCGGATTTCTTTTACTTTGCATTGGCAGGCCGTTGTGTGTGCGTGTGTGTGCGCTTAAGACTTTTATTTATTTATTCCTGAGAGACCCCGAGAGAGAGGCAGAGACCGGGCAGCGGGAGAAGCAGGGCCCAGACACCTCCAAGCTCACTCGCCCGTCGCCGGCGTCCGGACTTCACGTTTCTGGCTAACCCGGTCGCCCGCTGCCCGTCTCCTCCCTTTTCCCCTCTAACATGTAGACGTGACACGTTCTGCCCTTGTCCTACCACCACTTACCTTTAAGATCACTGCGAGCGAGCGGCGGCCGAGGAGAACCGCCGGTAGCTCCTCAGTGGAAACGGGCCCAGTGGGGGCCGCCGGGGAGCTGCGGCCCCGCTGTCCTCCCGGCTCCACAGGAACCTGGGCCTCGAGGTGAGGGCGAGGCCGGGCCCCCGCGCGGGTCTCCCCTCAGGCGTCGTCTCCGGGCGCCCGGCCGCGGGGGGGGGGGGGGGGGGGGGGGGCGGGTTGGGGGCGCCTCAGGCCCAGGCCGTGACCCCGGGTGACCCCGGGTCGCGGGATCGAGGCCGGCGTCGGGCTCCCGCGTGGGCCCGCTGCTCCCTCGGCCCGGGTCTCTCTCTCTCTCTCTCTCTCTCTCTCTCTCTCTCTGACCCTCGTGAATAAATCAAACTTTAAAAAAAAAAAATCTCGGCGGGCGCGGGTCGCGGTCTGGGCGCCGCCGGGCTCCCCTCGGGGTCCCCCGGTGCAGGACGGGTGTCCCGGCACCTCGGCCCTGACGGCGCGGCTCCCGGGGAAGAAGGGCGCGGCCCGGCGTCTTCCCGGGGAGCAGTTCCTCCCCCAGAGGCCTGACCGGGGACCCCCCCCCCCGACATTGCTCTTACCGGGCGGGGGCAGGAGAGCCGGGCAGGCCACGCCACCGGGGCACGGCGGGGGCACGGCGGGGGGCACCGCGGAGGTCACGGCAGAAGTCACACGGAGGTCACCGCGGAGGTCACCACAGAGGCCACGGCAGAGGTCACGGCGGAGGTCACGGCAGCCACGTGTCCCGGTGTCCAGAGGTCAGTGGGCTTCTGCGGGCCCGCGGGGCGGTCGATGCTCCTTGCAGGCGCAGCCCCTGCGGCCGCGGGGGGGTGGGGGGGTCGGGGGGAGGCCTTCAGGGGCCACGGCCCTGGGAGGACAACCGCCTGCCCGCGAGCCTCCCCCCTACCCCATCCCCTCCCCCTTGCGGTTCCCCCTCCCCCTCCCCTCCCCTTCCGCCCTGCCCCGCGGTCCCCCTCCCCACCCCCATCCCCTCCCCCTTGCGGTTCCCCCTCCCCCTCCCCCATCCCCTCCCCCCACCCGCGGTCCCCCTCCCCCCTCCCCGTCCCCTTCCCCCGTCCCCCTCCCCCCTTCCTCCCCACTCCCTGCCCTCCCCCTTCCCTCCCCCCCCCCCCCCCCCGCCAGCCCTGCCCGCAGCCCCCGCCCCTCGGGGCGCCCCGGGGAGCCCTGCCGGCAGCTGCGTCCTTCCGGCTCCCAGGTCTCATCCCCGCAAGTCCGTGTGTCCTTCCCTCGAGCTCGAGGCGAATTCCCGGTTCTTCCGTCCGACTGGGCGCCCCGGGGGAGGCGTGACCCGGTCCCGGATGGGCCTGCGCGCTCCCGAGGTGCAGGGAGAGGCCGCGACGCGGGCGGAGGGAGCCGCGGGCTCCCGGGGCCGCCGCGGGCTCGACCTGGGACCCGGGGTCACGGCCTGGCCCCTCCCCCGGGCGAGCGGTGGGTGCGTGTGTGCATCGGGGTGCGGCGCCCGGAGCCCCCGCGGGTGGGGACCGCGGACGAGGACGAGGCCCCGATATCCTGTTGGTTAGAGGCAAGCGCTAGACTGACGGCGGAGGCCGCAGACGCCTCCGGGCATTGCCTTGTGCTCCTGGACCCCCTGACACAGCAGACCTCCCCCTGCAAGCACAGTTCTCCAGACTTGGTCACCACGGGCCGGTGCCCCCGACCGCTGCTGCCACCCCGGGAGGTCCCAAGCGCCGAAGCCAGCTCGGGCCTTGCTCCGGGCATTGCTCCGGGCAGCGTGTCTGCAGGAATCGCCCCCAAGGGCGCTGTGGCCCCGCAGCCGAGCTTCCGCCCTCTGAACGTCCAGGCCCAAGCAGCGCCGAGGGTCCTCAAGAGGCTGGACGGAGGGCTGCCTCCCACCCGGCCACTGCCCTGCGGGGCATTCACCCCAAAGACACAGATGCAATGAAACGCGGGGGACACCCGCCCCCGGTGTTGGCAGCGGCAGTGTCCTCGGGAGCCACACTGCGGAGGAGCCTGGGTGTCCTGGGAGGGTGAGCGGATGCAGAAGCTGTGGTCTGTACACACAGTGCAACATGAGGGGGCCTCAGAAAGGACGAACACCCGCCAGGTGCTGCGCCGTGGGCGGAACTGGAGGTCAATGAGTGACCTAAGTCAGGTAGAGAAGGACAATCATCCTAGGGTCTCACTCATGGTGGAATATAGGAAATAGTGAAAGGGACCATACGGTAAGGAGGGGAACTGAGTGGGAAAAATTAGAGAGGAAGGCAAATCTTGAGAGACTCTGGACTCTGGGAAACAAAGGGTTGCAGAAGGGGAGGCGGGCGGGAGGATGGGGTGACGGGGTGACTGGGTGATGGGCGCAGAGGAGGGCACGTGATGGGGTGAGCACTGGTGTTATACTATATGTTGGCAAATTGAATGCCCATAATTTTTTTGTAAAGGAATCAAATGCTAAAAAAAAAAAAAAAAAAAAGGAACGTCCAGGCCATTTACTCACCAGCACGTTGGGTAACTGCCGAGCTCCACAGTAAGCTCAGCTGGCTTGAATCATTCAGGAAAGACTCCAAGGCTTGCGGCCCCAGTCACTTCCCAGATGAGTCAGGAAAGAGGGAGAGGCTCATTACAGGCAAGAGGGGGGACTCCTTAAACACAGGCTCCGTAACACGTATGTAGACGGAAAGAAAGGGAAAACGGGCAGTGGGATGTTACCAGCCTGAGAACACGACCAGCTCTCCTGTTCGCACAGGGAGGAGAGGCTGACGTTGGCTTGGCACAGGAGGCGCCGGGCTCGAGCTCGCGGCCCAGGCGTACTCCTAGAGCGAAGGCCACGTGTTCCTCGGGTACCACAGGCACCTTCAGGGCCCGGCGAGACAGCTGCCACGCCGCGAGGCGCAGAGCGCTAGGACTCCACTCAGCTCAGCCGGAGTCGTAGTCCACGCTGCTGACACACGGAAACATCACGCCGTCCTTGGCGGAAAAGGATTTCTTGACTTTAAATGGCATCCTGAAATCCCCTCCCCCATCATTCCTTTTACGGGCTGAGAAACTAAATTCATCGTTCCTGAGGAAGCTGTGAAACGACCCCATAGGAAGGCACGCTCGCACTCACACATACGCACACGCTCACAGCAGGCGCGAGCAAAGGCACGATAAGGAAATGATAAAATAAGGGTAATGCCAGCAAATTGAGAGAGGGGAACGGTATTTCCACTGAGAGAGATTTTCTTTAAACAACAGCTGTAACTTTTTAAAAAAAAGATTTTATTTATTCATTACAGACACAGAGAGAGGCAGAGACACAGGCCAAGGGAGAAGCAGGCTCCCTGCGGGGAGCCCGACGCGGGACTCGATCCCGGGACCCCGGGGTCACGGCCTGAGCCAAAGGCCGACTCTCAACCGCTGAGCCACCCGGGCGCCCCGATGACTATAACTTTCGATAAGGGCTACTGCGCTAAGCATGCAGGTGAATGCTTGCACCTAGTCCCCACATCAACCCAATGAGTCCAATATCATCCTTCTTAAAAGTGTGGAAACTGAGGCAGCTTAGCAAAGAAGCCAGCACATCGGCCTTGGAACCAGCTCCTCGTGCTTTCTAGGTCAGGCTCTGCCACTTGCCGGCCTTGCAACTCCAGGTTGCTAAACGCTCTCGGTCTAATTTTCAAATAAAAGTAAGATAAGGACGATGGACTCCATCTTGTTGTTGAGGATTGTTGTTGTGAGGATTGAATGAGATCTAGAAGATGCCCAAGGCAGGGTGTTCGCATGTCAGGATATCAGGATTCCTCCTAGCTCTATAAATAAATGTTCAAAAATTATCTCAGTTCAGTTCACCAAAAAAGTCATAGATGTTTTGTAAGAAAATGCTGATGATCTGTTCGACATGAGTGAGCTGGAAGGTTCATAAAACCGTGGACGCGGACTGGCTCTTGAACACGTTGGCGGAGAATTAAGGATTTCAAAGCCCTGGATGTACTTTGATTGGAGTACTCTGTAGTTTACAAGATACCAAATTATCTCTTGATTAAAAAGATTTTATAGTCCCGAAGGGGACAAGCTCATGGGTTTGATTGTGCTGCTACTTCCCCCCACCCACGACGTTGCGCGCGGGCAGCGGCCAGAGAAGGCGAGGCTGCTGAGCCTTCCTCTTGCCGGGCTGGGCAGCAAGCTGGCAGCCAGAGTGGACTTGAGCGCGTCCCGGCAGGGAGCAGGCCTCGCTGGGTGGCCCGGAGAACAGGACAAGGGCAGTGAGGACTGATGTCCCCCCTCCTGGAACCGGGCCGGCTAGCCTGGGAAGGAGGCAGAAGAGCCCCCCAACAGGGCAGCAGCAGCCAGGAGGTGGGCGCTGCAGGCGTTGGGGGGCGGGGGGTGCTCCCTGGGCCGGCGGTGTGGACGCTGGAAAAGACGTGCCGCAGGACTCCCCACACACCTCTCGCTGCAGACCATCAAGGGCGGGAGGGACAGCAAGGTGTCCTCTGACGGAGACCTGGAAAGCAGTCGTTTCCGAAGGCCTCTTCCGGCACCGCTGTTCCGGCCCAAATGTTGAGGCCGATGGCCCGATGTGTCCTTTTTGAAACGAGGCCCCTCTGCTCCTATGAAACAAACTTAACAAGACTCAACCGTGAGAGTCTGAGTTTTAGGCCAGGAAAACAGCAAGGGATTCCCTCAGCCCCCAAAGAAAGTGGGTCCACCCTAAGCAGCCAGGCTGGAGGCGGCGAGAGAGGAGAGGTGGTCCCTCAGCTTGGGGCATCCGAGAAGATGGGTCACTTCCTGGGGGCATAGTGTCCCCTATGGCCCGTCCTCAGGGAACCTAGGGCTAGTCCCCAAGAAACCGATGGGTCTTCCATTCTCTACCCAGACTGCGTCCACTTGCCCAGATTTCAAGCCACAAATCCCCAAAGGGCCACCCAGGCGGCTGCCACCCCAGCAGCCCCCGTCTGGGCCCCCTTGCTGCGCTGCCCTGTTCTCCACCGGCGGGCTGGGCTGGGTGCACTGGGGCAGCAGTCATGATGTGGGACCAGGGACCCCTGAGGGACCCCTCCTCAGGACGGAGCCCAGGCCCTATAGGCGACAGCCGGCTGCCCTTAACACTGTGCTGTGGCCGCGCGTCCCTGAGGTCACGACTTCCCCACGGGGATGGGGGGAGCTGGGAGACCTGCTGGCACAAATTCTCTGCTGGGCTCTGGGGAGCCCCGCCTCCCTCCCGCCTAGTGTGAGCAGGCTACGGCCAAGCTCGTGGGTCCCGCCGTGGGTCCTGCTCCCCACCCCTGCCCACAGCACCCCTGCCCGCAGACCCCCTGCACCGTCCCCGCCCGCAGCGCCCCTGCCCGCAAAGCGCCCCGCAGCGCCCCTGTCCGCAGACCCCCCCCCGCAGCTCCCCACCCGCAGCGCCCCTGCCCAGAGAGCCCCTGCCCACAGACCCCTCGCAGCGCCCACCCGAGCACCCCCACCCGCAGCACCCCTGCCCGCAGAGCCCCCTGCAACGCCCCCTGCAGCGCCCCTGCCCGCAAAGTGCCCCGCAGCGCCCCTGTCCGCAGACCCCCCGCAGCTCCCCACCCGCAGCGCCCCTGCCCAGAGAGCCCCTGCCCACAGACCCCTCGCAGCGCCCGCCCGAGCGCCCCCACCCGCAGCACCCCTGCCCGCAGAGCCCCCTGCAACGCCCCCTGCAGCGCCCCTGCCCGCAAAGCGCCCCGCAGCGCCCCTGTCCGCAGACCCCCCCCGCAGCTCCCCACCCGCAGCACCCCTGCCCGCAGAGCCCCCTGCAACGCCCCCTGCAGCGCCCCTGCCCGCAAAGCGCCCCGCAGCGCCCCTGTCCGCAGACCCCCCCCCGCAGCTCCCCACCCGCAGCGCCCCTGCCCAGAGAGCCCCTGCCCAGAGACCTCTCGCAGCGCCCCCCAAGCGCCCCCGCCCGCAGCACCCCTGCCCGCAGACCCCCGCAGCGCCCCCTGCAGCGCCCCTGCCCAGAGCCCCTGCCCACAGACCTCTCGCAGCGCCCCCCTAAGCGCCCCCGCCCGCAGCACCCCTGCCCACAGAACCCCCGCAGCTCCCCACCTGCAGCGCCCCTGCCCAGAGAGCCCCTGCCCACAGACCTCTCGCAGCGCCCCAAGCGCCCCCGCCCACAGCACCCCTGCCCGCAGCGCCCCCTGCAACGCCCCCTGCAGCGCCCCTGCCCGCAGCGCCCCCGCCCCCCCAGCGCCCCGCCGGCAGCACCCCTGCCCGCAGAGCCCCCAGCAGCGCCCCCGCCCGCAGAGCCCCTGCCCACAGACCCCTCGCAGAGCCCCCCGCGCCCCCGCAGTGCCCCCAGGCCCTGCCGCAGAGCCCCGCAGCCCCCGCCCCCAGCACCCCTGCCCGCAGACCCCCTCCCCGCAGCGCCCCCCGCACCGCGCGGCGGCTCCGAGGCGGGGTCTGAGGTCGACGCTTCCTGCTCCCGCCGCGGGGCTCCCACGTCCCGCTCGCCCCGCCCCGCCCCGCCCCGCCCGGCGCGCCCCCGCCCCCGCCCCGCCCCGCCCCGCCCCCGCCCCGGGCCCGTGGGGGCGCCCAGGCGGGCGGGAGGGGGTCCGCGCGGCCGGGTCGCGGGGGGCGGGGAGCCGACGGCAACCGCCGCCCCATTTCCGCCCGGCCGGCCGCGCGGCAGGGCAGGGGAGCGGCGCGGAGAGCGCCCGGTCCTGCCTCCGCCCGCCCGCGCCGGGGGCCGGCCTTGCCTCGCCGGCGCCTTTTTCCCCGCAGCGCGGCGCCGCTCCGCCACTCGGGCCGGCACCGCAGGTGGGGCGGGAGGCCGGGCGCTGCAGCCGCGGAAGATGGTGCCCTCGGCCGGACGGCTCGCCCTGCTCGCGCTGGGTACGTAGCTGCCCGCCCGCCCGCCCGCACCTGCCGCCCCCCGCCCCCCCCTCCGCCCGGCCGGGTCGCGGGGGCCCGAGGGCCGGGCTGGGCCGCGCGGAGCAGGGAGGCGGCGGGGAGGCGGCGGGGCCCGGGCCGGTGCACCCGCCTGAACTTTAATCCGCGGCGGGGCGGGCACCGAGCCCTCGCCGCCCCGCCGCCCCGCCGCCCCCGCCGCCCTGGCCCGCGCCCCCGGCCGCGCACCTGGCCGCCCCCGCACCTGCCCCCCGCGCGCACCTGCCCCCCCCGCGCACCTGCCCCCCCCGCACCTGGCCGCCCCCCGACCGCGCACCTGGCCGCCCCCCCCCCGGCCCGCTCACCGCCTACCCCCCCACGCACCTGCCCCCCCGCACCTGGCCGCCCCCGACCGCGCACCTGGCCGCCCCCCCCCGGCCCGCTCACCGCCTACCCCCCCACGCACCTGTCCCCCCCGCGCACCTGGCCGCCCCCCCGCGCACCTGGCCGCCCCCGCGGGTCCCCCGCTGCCCACGGCGGGTGCAGCGAGCGCCGGCGCCCTCCGCCCCTGAGTCCGGGGCCCCGGGACTCCCCTCGCCGCGGGCCGGCGTCCGGGGCTGCGCGGGCGGGGAAGGGCGAACTTCCCGGAGCCGCGGCGGAGCGGTGCGGCCGCCCTCGGAGCTCGCCCTCGGCGGCAGCGAGGGCCCGGGGCAGGCGGGACGCCGGACGCTCCGCTGCGCCCCCCGTGGGGCCGGGGCGGGGCGGGGCCGGGGCCGGGGCCGGGGTCGTGGGCGCGGCTTGGGCGCCGGGGCTCGCTCGGCGCAGGTGCCCGGGACTCAGCCCCGCAGAGCCAGTTGCCAGACCCGCGTCCGCGGGAGCCTGAGCGGCCGCGCCCCCCGCGCCCCCGCGCCCACCCGTGCGACCCCGGTGCCCCCCGCGCCCCCGGTGCCCCCCGCCCCCCAGCGCGCAGACAGAGCCGCGGCCTCCCGGTGACGCGGGCCGCAGCCGGGGCGGGGGCGGCGGGGATCCCGGCCTGGGAAGCCGCCGAGCACCGAGCACCGAGCACCGGGTGGGGAGCCGGGAGCCGGGAGCCGGGAGCCGGGAGCCGGGATCCGGGCGCCGCCGCCCGCGCCGACACTCGCCGACAGGTGGCAGGATCGGGGCGCCCCCAGCCTCCCTTCCCCGAAGCCCTTCTAAGTTTCTGTTCCGAGGGAGGCTCGGATCCGAGACCCTGGGAAGGCGGCAGGACCCCGCCGCCCACCTGAGGCCCCGCGCCGCCCTCCTACCCGCGCCTCCCGGCCAGCCCAGCCCACGACCAGGGCAGCTGTGCCCCGGGCCAAGCGCGCACCCGCCTGAGGTCCTCGCCGACGGGTGCCGGAGGCCTTACCATGCCCATTTCACAGACGGGAAAGTGAAGCACAGAGGCCCGCAGTAGGAAGTACCGGCCGGGGTTATTGGAGTGTGGGAGACTGGACGGTTTGAAATGTCAGCTGACTGCGGTCGGTGGAGCCCCCCTCTCTCAGCTTTGGCACTTTTCTTCTTCTTTTTTTTTTAAAGATTTTATTTATTCATGAAACCCAGAGAAAGAGAGAGAGAGACAGAGGCAGAGACCCAGGCAGAGGGAGAAGCAGGCTCCATGCAGGGAGCCCGTTGCAGGACTCCATCCCAGGTCTCCAGGATCAGGCCCTGGGCCAAAGGTGGTGCCAAACGGCGGAGCCACCCAGGGATCCCCGGAAGGAGAGGTTGCATGCAGTTGTATACCCCAGAACTTGCTGTTGACTTGGGTCTTCCATGGACTCCTAGGATCTCAAGGTGGCCTGAGGCTATTCAGTGAAAATTAGAAGCAGGAAATGATGAAGCTGTGCAGATTGGAGGGCACCTTTGAAAGCTGCCCCGCCTCCCCCATCCTACTACCTGCACTCATCATGTTATTTTGCCTTTTTGCCCAAGAGCTGAACCTGACCCTTGTTTCCTCCATTGAGAAACAAATGTGTAACGTAAGCCTAAAAAGATTGGCCAATATGTAAAAGCTGGTTCGCACGACTCCAAAAGATGAGCAGTTGGGGCGGGGGGAGTGGGGGGGAAAGCAGAGGAAAAGAAGGCAGGAGTGCCGGTATTTTATTTTATATTTCTTTTTTTTTTTTAAAGCCATCCGTTCCGATGGTTGACTCCAGCTCCTGCCCCCACCTCGCTTTCTGCTAGATTACTAAGTAGCGCTCAGCGACGCCACATGCATCCTTAATTTGCACATTTCCTCCAGGGCCGCTTTCCTCTCTGATTTTTCTCAAATTAGTTGAAGGCAGTTACGGGCAAATCAGCAAATCTGGAAAACTGAGATCGCTCCCCTCCTTCCTAACCCCCGGAGGGACAGTCTGAGAGGGCCCCGGTTGTCTGGAGTCGCAGCCGATGCTCCGGATTACGGATTCCGTGGAGTGTGAGCCTTGACTGATGTTTTGGCGGAGAGCGAGCGGAGACGGTGCCTTAAATGGCAGCGCGGGAAACGTCATCCGGGTCCCTGTGGCGCTGCCCTCCTTGGCAGGTTTCCGTCCTTGGCCGGGCACACCTCTCGGGGGCTTGGCCGCTCCTGCCGCACGTCCTCCTCCGTGAGCGGCGAGCAGCGTGTGTGATCCGGGGCAGGTGACTCCGCTTTTCTGTGCTTTGTGTGTCTCCTCTGTGACCCGGTGCCGCTCACAGGCAGGGCGGTTGAATATATTCCGTGAGCATAGAACGGTGTGTGTCTTGTCATAAGAGCTGCAGTCACCTCAATGCCGTCATCATCATCATCATCATCGTTGTCACGACTTTGAGCCCCACAGAATTCCAGATGTCCTAGCAGGTTGTGTCCGTTCTGTAGCTGGGACAGGTTGTTTTATCTCCGCCCTTCCTAAGCCGGGAATTATCAGCTAACCTAAAAACCTACTTAATGATTTTACGGAGTCTCGTTTGCCAGGAGCGAATGAGATTCAAGCAAAGTTTGGAATTGTTTTCTTGGGCATCACGGGTTCTTTAATTTTTGATGCAAAACATTTGTATTTCCTCCTTAACGTTCGATGGTCAGTTTATTGAAGTCACACTATGCTCCAGTTTTCTTAGTGGGAACAAAAAAAACTGCATCCAGGGACGCCTGGGTGGCTCAGCGGTTTGGCGCCTGCCTTTGGCCCAGGGCGCGATCCTGGAGACCCGGGATCGAATCCCACGTCGGGCTCCCGGTGCGTGGAGCCTGCTTCTCCCTCTGCCTGTGTCTCTGCCTCTCTCTCTGTGTGTGACTATCATAAATAAATAAAAATTTAAAAAAAATTAAAAAAAAAAAAACCTGCACCCACCTCACAGGTTGTAATGAGCATCAGATAAGGTGGTGAATACAGAAGCTGTTTCTAAACTATACAGAGAGAGAACTACACACAGGATGAAATAGGTTTTGTAACCCAGAAGTAAACATGGTTACGTTCCTGGCAGCTCCCAGAAGTGGGGCTGGGTGTAGCCCACGGAAGGGTCCTATTAGGACCCTGAGTGTCGTGAGGATGGTAGAGATGAAGCAGGTGGGCGGCCCTGTGCGTTGGGGACTGAGGGCCGAGTAGGGGGCATGAACCAAGATGGTCATCTTCGCCCGTACGTGGAAGTGACGTGTTGCAGAGCCAACGGGGGAGGTGGGGTCTGCCCAGGACACGTGTTGTCCTCGGTGGGCAGCCGCAAGTGGGGAGAGTTAGAACGTGGGCCGTAGGTGCATCTGGAAGCCTCCGAGGCTGAGTCTCCCGTATTTGCTTTTCCAAAACTTGGTTTCCTAGGATAAAGAGATCTTTCTGTAAATATTCAGTGTCCCCTGCAAAGGGGACCTTTCTTGCAGGAGCAAGTGATGCTTTGTTACTATGGTAACGTAGGAAAACGAGCTGACTTTTCCATTAGGCCTATCTCTGAGGGCCTTTTGAAAGTGTGTTTGAACAAAGTCCTACTCTGTAGGCTGAAAGGGATGGGCGGCGGGACGTGGAGGTTGGGTCAGCCGACACGGGGCGAGACCCACGCGCCGGAGTGGGCACCCTGTGCTCGGCTTCACCCGGGAAAGCTCTGAGGACCTTGCAGAGCAGCGCCCTGAGTCCCGGCCACCTGCGGGCTCGGTGCACCAGGCTGTCCAGCGGGAGGGGGGAGGGTTTGCACGCGTGCCACGCGTCCAGGTGGGGCTCGTGCTGCCGGCGGGCAGGAGAGACGGACGCTTGGAGAACCGCGGTAGCCGTGAGGCCATCTCCTGGCTTAGCCAGCCGCCTTTTATCCAGAGTCCGGGGGCCCGAGCGACAGCCGTGGTTGAGGAGCCATTGCCGAAGCCCGTCTTGCCGGGCGGAGCAGGGCTGGGACTCTCGACCAGGTCTCTCAATTGTCGGGAGCGTTCTGGGCCTTTGCCCCCGCAACTGTGCTAGTCCTTGGTTAGTAGACGGAAGCTGACTGACCCGAAGCGTGTCGCACTTTCTTTTTTTGGGAGGTTGCCCAAAATTGACCATTGTCTTGCTACCGTTTCAAATACTTTCAATCCCTTCATTTTAAAGTATGAACTTAATTCTGTGCTAAAGGCTCACGTGCTTACGGTTGCGTCTAGGGGTGCCTGTGGCTCAGTGGGGTCGGCGTCAGACTCTTGATTTTTGGTTTCGGTCCTGATCTTGGGGTCCTGAGATGAGGCCCTGCGACGGGCTCCATGCTCGGCACAGAGTCTGCTTGAGATTCTCTCTCTCTCCCTCTCCCTCTGCCTCTGCCCCTCCTCCTGCTGCTGCTTGTTCTCTCTCGCTAAATAAATAAATAAATTCTAAAAATTGCATCTAGATAGAGAATTTGAGTACTCTCATGGTGACTTCTGGTTTTGTTTTGCTTTTTCCCCCCTTGTGAAATGTCAAGTATAAAAATCTTCCATAGAATCAGGAAAACCTAAAATCTAGGCCAGCAGAAGCATCTCTGAGGAGCTCTCCAAGTACAAGGCACAGTCCTTCAGACCAGCTCTAAAATCTGGGTAGTGTTGGGGCACC